ACGGTCGACAGCCGGTGGGCCACGATCACCGTCGTTCGCCCCTTCATAACCCTACCCAACGCCTCCCTAACCCGAGCCTCCGAATCCACATCAAGCGCGCTCGTCGCCTCGTCCAGAAGAAGAACTCTCGGATCTTTCAAAATAGCCCTCGCAATCGCAACCCTTTGCTTTTGGCCCCCCGAAAGCTGCACCCCTTTTTCCCCGACTCGCGTCCCGTAACCCTCCGGCATTCGCCTCACAAACTCGTGCACGTTCGCCGCTTCACAAGCATCGGTTATCTCGATTTCGGAAGCTTCCGGATTACCGTACTTTATATTCTCGTATATTGTCGTGGAGAATAAAGCCGGTTCTTGTTGTACTAACCCGATTTTCGCTCGTAAAGATTTTAAATTTAACGTCTTGATATCATATCCATCGATCAAAACATTTCCTGAGTCGGGTTCGTAAAATCTTAGAAGTAATGAGATTACCGTGCTTTTTCCCGAGCCACTCGGGCCCACGATAGCCATGCTCGTGCTACTCGCCACTTTTAGGTTTAATCCGTTAAAAATCGATACATCGGGCCTCGTGGGGTACCTAAAGTTTACATTTTTAAACTCGATATCTCCTCGCATATGCGTGAGGATAGTCGACGAGGGTTCGTTCGGGTCGATTATCGTTTTCCTTCGGAGAATATCGAAAACCGAGCCAAGAACTCGAGATCCCTTGACTAAATCGGGCGCGAGTGCTAGCGTCTCGGCTACGGCTAGTGCGGTTATGACGAGCACCATGAAAGATTTCATTATATCGCCGAATTCGGATTTTTTGTCTCGGATGAGGATAGATGCGTACCAGAGTCCCACGGCGTATGAGGAGTATGCAAAGAAAAGTGAGATTCCGTACCCGAAGCCCATTACGTGGCCACGGAGAAAGGCCCGTTTTCTCGACCCGTTAAGCTTGGAGGCGAATCGGGCCGTTGTTTGGGCTTCGGCGTTAAAGGCGGCTACGGTTCGTATGTTGGTGAGTGCTTCGCGCGCGACTTCAGTTGCTTCGTGGTATGCACTCGCGTAATCCCCTCCGAAACCTTTGAGAAATAGTTGCTGCGTAATACATCGAGTCGAAAATTATACGAGCAATTTTTGCAAACACTCGGCTTTGGACATTCCGAAAGAAAAGACTCACCTCGGCTATGTTTGCACCGATGAGAAGAGGAAAAGTGGCGATCACAACAGCCGCAATCCGCCAGCTCAGCACGAAAGCGATCACGAATGCGGTTACGGCTAGCGCCGTGTTTTGGACAAGTGTCGATATTCGGTCGGCTAATGCAGTTCGTACTAATGTTGCGTCAGTAGCT